GTAAGAGCTCCTCAGGCCCAAATGAAAACCACTGAGTAAGGTTCAGAAGGAACCAGGACACCAATTCAGCAATGACCAATAAGTTTCCTGGGTCTAGGAACCAAAAAACTCACGCTTTGAACTCTGATGCAATCCAGGACTAATACTGTGAGTCCAGTAAGCCATAAATCATAACATGTTCTACAGGAGTAAACAATTCAAAACTAAAAAGACATAGAGAAACACACTCACAGGTGACTGGCATACAAAGGCAAGTCCAGACAGCAGGCCAACGCAGTACCTGCAGTGTTCCAGAACCAAATTATATTATAGTGACATCTACAGGAGGGAACTGACCAAATACAGTGGGAAGGCCACCACCCCACTATGAGCTAGACAGATTGAATTTTGATTCATAATAAAACAAGGTCTAGGGGAAGGAGGGGGAAAAACCATTAGAAACTTCGAGAAAATAAGGCCAGACATGCTGGCACATTTCCTGTAATCCCAACACTCAGGAGCTGAGGCAGGAAGACTGAGGTGAGTTTGAGGCCAGCCTGGGCTACACAGTGAAATCCTGTCAACAAAAAAGAAAAAAAAAATTTTTTAAAGGAAATTTTAGAAGATGTAGTTGGGCATAGCGACACATGACTATAATCCCACACTCTGGGAAGCTAAGGCAAGAGGTTCATAAATTCAAGGCTAACCTTAATAAAAACCTATCTCAAAAATACACAGATAAGGGCTGGGGATTTAGCTCAGCGGCATAAGCACCTGCCTTGCAAGCACATGGTCATGAGTTCAATCCCAGGTACCAAAAAAGGAAAAAAATACACAGATGAAATACAGCTCCGTGTAAAGGCTCTAGATTCAACCCCCAGAATTGGGAGAAGGGAGAGATTCAGAAGTATTTAGAAATCCAGAAAATGATCTTAGATCAAGAATAATCTATTCTAAGGCACACTACAAGAGTAAAACAAAATCATCAACACTCCCAAATGTGCTCTCAACATTTGGTGTTTTTCTGATTTCCTTCCTAAACGTAGTCAAGATTCTTAGAAAGAAAAAGAAAAGAAAAGAAAAAGAAAAATCTGGTTTGGATGCTAACACACCACTTTTCTGGGTTTACAGTTAATAATAACTGACCTTGTTCCTTTTTCCCAAAATGAATACTCAGTCTCAGAATTCTTGTTCTCACGGTTTTCTAGGCTACCATTACTAGATAGATGGCCACAATTTGTACCCTAAAACAAACTCACCTGAAACCCTTAGTTTAAACCCACATTTTTTCAAATACTTGGATTAAGGTACAGTTGTCCCTCACGCTATAAAGGACTAGTTGCCCTCATAAATATTAAAATCTGTCGACACCTTTATACAAATCTGTAGAATTTTATGTAAGTCCCATACTTATATAAAATGACAGTATTTACACATAACCTGTGAATGGCAAATTCTCACAAAAACTTTAAGTCATCTTTGGATTACTAATGTCTAGTAAACTGTAAATGTTACATAAATAGATGTTATACTGTATTGTTCAGGGAACAATGACAAGAATATGTCTATCCATGTTCAGGAGAAACATAACTTTTGTTTCCCCAAATATTTTTAGACCTTAGTTGTTTGAATCCATGGATATGGAACCTGCAGATACACTCCTGGGCCACAGCACTCAAAAGGGAAAGCCATCCCAGGGTAAGGAGTAAAAGCTAAGCAGAGATGCAGAATCATTTAAAATGAGCAGAAATAAAAAATAAAGCAGGTAACACTGACCAGAGGAAAAAGTGGAAACTACCAAGCTTGCCATCCCACTTGCCAGAAAAGGAAATTTATTTACAGTACCTACTGTATGGAGTCTTAAAAGACTATGAACAGGAAGAAAGGCTGAACAACAAATATAAAATGAAACAAAAATCTTCCCTATTTTCTACCGCCAGAGTTATTTAATTAAGGTTTTTATGTTTCACAGTTATTCTAAAATTCAAATCATATATTTATTAATGCAAAGAATCTCATAACTGCCAGACATCACTCATTTACCAAATACAGTAAAAAACAATTTATTTTTTAAACAATGTTTATTACCAGATGGCTGTATAAATACACCTGAATAATACAAATAGGTTTGTGATTAGAATAAAATGAAGACACGAAGCTGAGCCAGGTGCTGTGGCACACACCTGTAATTCATGCTATCAGGAGGCTGAAGCAGGAGATCACAAGCTCAAGGCCAACCTGGACTACACAGCAAGTTCAAGGCCAGCTTGGACTACACAGTGAGACTCTGTCTCAAAAAACAAAGCAAAATGTTCTAAAACTAATGTTGTAGAAGTATATTCATTGATACTGAATGGAGCTCATAATTAAGTTGAAATGTGGATTTCAAAAGAGCATCACAATGATTCATGATGACCAAGATTTTAAAGGCATAAAAATTATTAGTTAACAAATCCCAAAGAATCCACCAAAAAACCTACTGAACCTAACAAATTCAGAAATGTTGCAGGAGACAAGATCAACATATGAAAATCGGTTATATTTCCATATACTCTGTAATAATGATGCACCCAAAAAGGAAATTAAGAAAACATTCAGTTAGGGTTTAGCGAATGTGGCCCCAAAGCTTCATGCACTGGGATTGCAGGTATGACTGGCTCATGAGTGCCGGCTGCTAGGAGGGGGTGCCTGCTAAGAAGAGGCGGGTGACATCCCTGCCTCCTCCTTTGCTCTTCATTTTCTGGCCACCGTGACCATGAGCTGGTTTCCCACTGCTTCGCCCCACTACTATTCCATTTCTGCTTTGAAGCCAGTGGATGCAAGTCAAAAGAAACCTCTCTCCTTTCAGCTGTGGGTGCTGGATGTTATGGCTCAGTGAAAAGTAACTACAACAACTCGACTCACAATAGAAAACCAAAGCACTATAACACATACCCTGAAAACTGTAAAATTCTGCTGAGAGAAATTGAAGTATAACTAAATACACAGAAACATATCACACAACCATGAACTGGAAGTCTTCCTGGGGGCTTCTCAGGTATCAGAAAGATGACAGTACTCTCCAAAGTGACCTACAGATTCAATATAAACCTCATCAAAATCACAAAAGACTTTTTTTCTCAAAAATAGAAGATGATCCTAAAATACATATGAAAGTACAAGGGATCCCAAATAATCAAAACCATAAGAACAGCAGGGCTGGGTGTAGTGGTGCACACCTGTAATCCTGGCACTCAGGAGGCTGAGACAGGAAGATTGCCACAAGTTCCAGGCCAGCATGGGGTACATAGTGAGTTCAAGACCAGCATGAACTACAAAGCAAGACTGTTTCTAAACAAATAAATAAAATGCCAGATGTGGTGGCATGTGCCTGCAATTCCAGCACTCAGAAGGCTCACACAGGAAGATTGCTGTTAGTTTGAGGGCAGCCTGAGCTACACAGCAAGACCCTGTCTAAAAAAACGACAAAACACAGTAAGATATTATTTCACTCCCACTATACTAGCTATTACCAAAAATGGAAAGTAATGAGCATTAGGGCAAGGCTGTGGAGCAAACAGAATCCTCATGCTTTGCTGGTGGGAATGTAAAAGAATGTGGTTGCTGTGGAAAATACCGAGGCAGTTCTTAAAATAGTTACACATAGCAACACCATAAACAGATCTGGTGATTCCACTCTTAGGTAAAAGACCTGCAAATGGATACATGTTTTGAAACACTACCCAGTACCTAATTAATATGTATAAATTTTACTTATCAATTAAAATATAATAAAATTCAGTCTTAAAAACAGAATTAAAAATGGGTATTCAAACTCTTTGGTCTCAGCAGCACAAGCAGGTAACAAAGGGAGTGTCGCCATCTGGAAAGTGTCATCATAATATGCATACATTTTGCCAGAACTGAGACGCTAAAGCCTATGACCTTCAGAAGCTGACCTGCACAAAATGGGGCTACCCTGGCAAAAACAAGAGAAAGCATAACTGGAATGTGAAGGCTAAGAGAGAAAATACCATCAGGCAAAGGAGGCGCCTAAAAATTGGATGTTGCGAATTCAGGTATGGTTCCCATGAAGGAACTACACCTAAACCCAGGAGAGCAGCTGTCGCAGCATCCAGTTATCTTGAGAATATCAGCCATTACTCAAAAGTAATGTTTTGCTTGAAAAAAAAAAAAGGAGGGAGGGAGAAACAGAGGGAAAAAATGAGAGGATGGGAGAAAAAGGGAAGGAGAGACAGGAAGAGAAAGAAGGAAGGAAGGAAGGAAGAAAGGGAAGGAAGAAGGAAGGAACATGGGTATCCAAATTCTTGTATATGAATGTTTACAACAGCACTATTCGTAATAGCCGAAGGTAGAAGTTACCCAAACATTTATCAACTGATGAATGGATAAACAAAATTGGTTAGGTATTATCCATCCAGACATGAAAAGGAATAGAGCACTAATACACAGAGTGTCCTACTGCAGTGATTTTTTTTTTTTTTTTTTTTTTTTTGGTCTTTGCTCTGCGCTTCATCTCTACCCCCTCCCTTTTATTTTATATTTTGAACATAGTCTCAAAAAGTTGCCCAAGCTGGGCTTAAATTTTCAATCCTCCTGCCTCAGCCTCCTCAAACACTGAGATTACTGGCATGCACTACCACGCCTGGCTCAAGGTAACTAAAATGTCATGAAACCAGAGGTGATGGCTACAGAACATTAGGAATATACAGAATGCCATTCATAATGGTTTATGGATACAGTAATTTCATAGTTATACCTCAACAAAAAAAAGTTTAAAAACAAAGGCCGGTGATTTAGCTCAGTGGAGTAAGCCTCTGCCTGGCAAGCGTGAAGCCATGAGTTTGATCCGCGCTACCAAAAAAGTCTAAAAGCCTATTATTTTAAATAAATTATTTTCTTTCAGAAACTACTACAAGTTATTGAACAAATTCAAAACTGTATCTCATCATAACACTTTTTATAGTTAATTCTCCAAAATACTTCTAAGAAAATACTCATAGAATGTTCCTATTTCTTACCAGCAGACTCTTTTTCATTCTGTTTTTCATAGAGGGTACCCACAGACATCAGGAAAACAATAACCAGGAATACTGGAATTCTCCATGAGCCAGCCAGGGATGCTGAAAATCATTAAGAATTAACATTTTTAGTGAAATGAAAACCTAGCATTTGTTTTTGAAAGACTCAGTTTTTTAGATTGACAAAACAATTTAGTATACATACTAATTACAAGATTATTATATTCTCAAAAAATTTTTGAAAATGCCATCAAAGAGATCTTGATGGGGAGGCGGTGGGGAAGTGGGAGCTGAGAAATGAACCCAGGGTTTTGCGTGTGCTAGGCAAGTCCCCTACCACTGGAGCTACATCCCTGACCCTCCATTCAGGGATTCCTGATACGAGTTCATTTTTGCTCTCAGCCACATTCTAGATCAGGTATGTCAGCCTGTCCTTTATGGGTTTGTATCACCTACTGGAATCCTGTCTTAGACTAAAGCATTACCAAGTTTAAGGCCATTCCAAACCTAAACTAGCCATCAGAACCCAGAATGTGCACAATCAGGTACAGATCCTGAAGTCACGGAGCCTGACTTGGTTTCCTGAGGATACCACTGGGAGCGATCAATCTCTACAGAAAGGACCCAATGACCCATGAGAGCACAGCAAAAGCTTCAATGTATGCTCCTCAGCATGTAGTGCAAATTAAACAGTCATCAAGGATTGGGTCTCTATCTCAACCATCTGAATTTCCCTTAGTTTGCCTAGAGCTTTGTGTATCTCGTGCCTCAGCCTTGCCCAAAGTCAAAATGAGTCACACGAGGGGCTGGGGATCTAGCTCAGTGGCATAAGCGCCTGCCTTGAAGGCAGGCAGTCGTGAGTTCGATCCCCGGTACCGATAAAAAGGAAAAAGACAAAAAAAAAAAAAAAAAAAAATGAGTCACACGAAATCCTGCAGATAAACTTTTAGCATAACAACTCAACAAAGTTAGAAAACGATGCTTTGGTTCAACACCACTCTAGGGCTGGAAATGTAGCTCAGCAGCACAGCGCCCGCCTGGGAAGGACAAGGTCCTGAGTTTGATTTCGGGTACAAAAAAATAAAATTGCTGGGCAACATGGCTCTGAGCAGAAACCTTTTTAACAAACTATTTTTTATTTCTAATAAGTAGCACTAAAAACTAACATAGGCCATCTACTGCTCTAGTACTGAATTTTGCTTTTAAATTCAAATGTCCTATTTTCCCATCAACTTAGAAGAGTTCCTCCTATGTTATCATGTTGCAAAGTCACTCAGCATTCTGGCAACTACCCAGTTATCCCTGAATGGTTTCATACAACAGAGAAGTCATTACTCTGAGCAGTTAGGACTCTGATAACCCCTGTGTTAAACAGGACTTTGTCTCCAGGAAAATACACCTCTAACATCTCTCCATCTGGTTACAGACATCTGTTTAAAGCATTCTTTCACAAGACAAAGTCTTTCAAATATCAGAAATAAACCTTCATATTTTACATCCTTGTCTCACCCCCTCCTTGCCCTACCGTCCCAATTTCTTCCTCTTACCCACGCAAACACCTTCTCTAGTCCCTTTAACTACCTGACACACCAGGCCACTTCCTTCATCCTTGACTGCTTCTCTGTATCCACCATGTCACTCAGCAAAATGACCAAGGATCCAGTGTGCTTCATTTTTTAAGACACATTTACTGTTAAAGGATTTTATTTTTAAAAGAACATGTAATATAATTAAAAAAGACATTTTAAAGCATATTTTCATTAAAGATTAATGAAAGATGAACACCTAACTTTTTAAAAGATTGTTCTAAAGAATTTTAAATGTGATAATACTACAAAGAATTCATTTTTGTTCACAGCCAACATTTGCTACCCTTAAGCTAGACTTTAAAAACATAGAAAAAAAAACAACAACAAAAAAAATGGAGTGACCCACCTAAATGAAAAAGCAATATAATCCAGACAGGAACTGAAATTGCTCTCAAGTAGCGTTCAGTACTTGCATTCCACTTGAATGAAACAGTCAACACATAGGCAACTACCAAGGTCCAGATCTTAAATAAATGAAATACAGACACAGCTGTAAAATATACACATATGAAAATTAACAGAATTATACTACATTTGTAAAGAATCTACATCCCATGAGTGCTCAGCATAGAGAAGGCTGGTGGTGCCGAAAGTAACATGCCTAGGTCCTCCTCCCCTGTTTGTAAACTGTTCTGAAATAAAAAAGCATTGGAAATTTCATGTCATGAGATTCAAAGATTTGACAAATATACACCATTTTAAGCCAATAAAGTTCAAAATCCATTTTATCCATAAAATGCTCAAAATAGTCAATTAAAAGCCCAATTTTGTTGAATTCCTAAAACTCATATCAATTAATGCTAATAAAAGCAAAGGGAGAAGAAAAACTTTTCTAAAATAAATCAGACTAAAAAAATCTATGTCAGTCTTGACGCTGGGTTTTGTTTTAGTTTTTTTGCTGTTGTTATATGTTTTTATGCTTGGTTTCTATGTTTTTTCTTGTTAGTTTTTCAGTACCGGGGATTGAATCCATGGCATTTGCACTGAACTACATTTCCAGACCTTTTTAAAATTTGTCTTCCTTTGAGATAGGATCTCACTAAGTTACTAAATTGTCTAAGATAGGCTAAAACTTGAGATCTTCCTGCCTCAGCTTCCCAGAGGCTTAGAATTTAACATGAGCCACCATTCCAGTCAAAAATATGCTTCTTACTATGAAAAGAAAATTGTTTTCAAGCTAGAGAGAAAGTAGTTGTCTGAAGCGTGCCTTGTTGTTAGACACTAACCCAACGTCACAGGCCCCAGCTGAAGGAGGGTGCCTGAAAAAATGTTAGTAGAGAGAGAAATAACAAAACTAATGACAGAAGACCCAGCCAGCCTTCCCTTCATTCTCGCTCCCTGCACCCAAATTTAAATAGGTAGCACTTAAAAAGCAACATGAGAAAGCGGTGCAGTCCACACAGAAACTCCTCTTTTAATAAAACATTTACAAAAGGTAAAATACATAATCCAGAGCAAATATGAGCACTAAAAAAGAACTTAGTAAGAATGTAAAATTCAAGTTTGACATGAACTTCGAAAAAAAGTATAAAAAAGCAAATTAGGACCAGAAAGAACTATAAAATATTATTTAGAGAATGAAAAAAAAAATCCTATTCACTACATTACTGTGGTTACATCTATCAATAAAAACAATCTCTAGGTCTTAAAAATGTTTAGAGCTTCTGAATGGACAATTCAGCTTTGGAATTTATTCTTACAAAACAACGACAGCTTCTAAAAATGCTTTCAGTATAAAGAAGCTCATCAGAATGTGAGCAGTGAAAAATGATCATCTAAAGGTCGCCAACTGGGAAATGAATAAATGGATGATTCACGCAATACCATTTTCACAAGCATTAAAACTGTTTTTAAAAAAACACTACATTAGTTGTGAAATGCCTAGTATTAAGTTAAAAGTAAAATACAAAAAAATTAACACTTTCACATCAAATGTGATATTAAAATATTTTTCTTCAAGCAGTTGTATTAGACAAGATATTAAAGAGCTCTAATGCCCAAAAATTAATGAAGACAAGGAAAATAAGGTGATAGCCACTTTAAAATAGTGCAGGCTTACAGAATCACACAAATTAGCTCTGGAATTCCAAAGAATTTTGAGATCTGATTGTAAAACTGAAAGATTAGTTGAGCACAATAACAGAACACTTACATAACACATGCCAGGCCCTGTTGCAATACTTTAATTATATGGAGTAATTTAATTTTCATAACCTCATAAAATTAGTACCATTATTGTTCCCATTTCACAGATGAAAGAAATGGAGACTTCATAGAAGTGATTTGCCCAGCATCACACATGACAAGGCTGAATTAAAAGCTAGGAATGTGATTAACACCTGCTTCCCGAATCATAGAATAAAGAAGCATAGGGCTAGAAAACAAGCAAAAGCTGCTTCAATTTCCACAAGGGAAAATACAATTAATTTAGAAAACTACAAATGGTTGAAATAAAAAATGATCCTCAGTAAATGGACAGCATCAGCAAAATGCCACATGGATGTGAACATTCTCTTAAACACTAAACAAACAGCATAGATGAAAGATTAGCAGGCATGCTATCAAAGTCACAGATCACACAAAATTGGGAGTAAAAAAAAACCACCATGACCAACAATTTATAAAATATTCTATAGCTAGAACAAGGCTGATTCGAACAAGATTAATGAAGAGAAATACAGAGTTATACATTTAGATTAACCCTACTATGCAAGCAGGGAATGGAGGAGTACTTCTCAGGTCAGTACACAGGAGAGTATGACTGGCGTGAGTGCCTACTTATGAAATACAATATTCCTACCAGGTAAACAGATGAATTTTGCACTACCAACCTACATGAGCAATAAAATTCAAACTGAGAAAAGAAATGGAAATCATAACATAGGATATGACAGGGTTGGGGGCACTGCCTAGCTTGGAAGAAAGAAGGGAAAATCAAGATTTCAAAGTCTCTTCAAATAGTTGGCAAAAATGTCATCTGAAAGAGGCCTGAGACTTAATTTTTGTGATTCTGCAACATAAATCACAGGTGGGCATGAGGAAGCGATACATTTCAGTTTAGTATGAGGATAAACTTCGCTAATAAACAATAGCCATCTAAAAATAGAATAAACCAAATCACTAAAGATGTCTGGAAAATTGTTGACCATAATTTAGAGATGACAGACTAGGAAAGTCTGCGCTCACCAAGTAGACAAACTACAAAAGGTGTATACCTTCAGAGTTTAAGGCTTTGATTCTTTCAAACCCTTCTCCATAGTTTTTTCCTTTCATTTTTGTTTTGCTTCTACTTATCAAGAATCGGTATTACCTACATGTAGAGACAAATAACAGACTTCATATTTCAGATCCTAGAAACTGACAGTCTAAAGAGAACCATGTATTTTTATCTACTAAATCTGAAATTCACAGATCATCTCATCTTAGTTTAAAATAACTAGTTATTAAATATACTCTACTCCCCAATACTCTCAGGAACATTTGCACACTAACAGACAGAAATCAAATTATTCACTGCTACAGTTCACAATATAAGAAATTGGTAACAATCTAAATGTCATTTAATAGGGAGCTGTTTGAACAATGTATCACAAAAATGGATATTTAAGACTTTCAAAGATGTAATGAATATCCAGGTTGAAACACACAGTGTAAAGCAATGCATATGTAAGTTAATAATGGTGAAAATATACTTCACATACACAAAAAAGCTAAATAACCACCTCCAGATGGTTAGATTTCAAAGGGGAATTTGCTTCTTTATGCTTTTTTTAAAACAAGTACTGAATTTTCTCCTAAGAGTATATAATACCTTGATAAATAAAAACAAATATTTCTAACTTTTACAAAATTGATTTATGGATTTTTTTGTACCAGGGCTTGAACTCATGACTTTGCATTTGCCAAGCAGGCACTTACAACACTGAGCTAAACCTTCGACCCTGGTTTATAGATTTTTAAAAATATTATGAATATTTTCTGTGAATCAGAGAATAATATTAATTCAAAGAATATCCCCATTTATAAAAACCTTTAGAGCTTATACTGAACAATTACCAATGATTAAAACTGTTTATGAATACTTTAAAGTAGAAGCTAAGAAAATCTGTCAGAAACATTTTCTAGCCTGGCATGGTGGTACACACGGATAACTGCAGCACTCAAGAGGCTGAGGCAGGAAGACTGCTGCAAGTTCAAGTCCAGCCTAACCTACATAGAAATACTCAATCTCAAAAAAGTCAAATAAAATACTTTGTAACAGATATCCAAGCCAGAGACTTAACTCAGCAGCATAAGTGCCTACCAGACAAGTGCGAGGTCATGAGTTTGATCCCTAGTACTAAAAACAAATAAACAAACAGAGGAAAAATTATTTATATGACAACAGTATTAAAAAGTATCATCTATAAGTACTAACAAGAGGTCTGTAACACAAGGATAAATGAAAGAGCAAGGTGCAGAATTACATGCTTAGTATCCATTTTTGTTTTTTAAAGATTAGGAACCCTGTACTTTATATGTTCACATGAGCATAGAAATAAGCTTAAAAGGCTAGACATCAGTTAACTATAGTAACATCTGCACAGCAGGAATGGTGCAGGGAAAAGGGATGACTTACTTTACCAAATAAACTTTCCTACTACTCAAATCCTTCCTCTTCTAAAACAAGTTCACTTGAATTAGCTTTTGAAATCACTATTCCTTAAAATACCAATAAAAACAAGTATTGTATATCCACATTTCATACACAATTTTGTGTTTTGTTTTGTAGTACTAGGTATCAACCCAGGGCCTTGCATGTGGCAGGCAAACCACCTACCCATGAGCTAAACCTCAGCCCAAACACAATTTCTGGTTTCAAACCCTTTCGCAGTTTCTTAGTCTTACTCTTCACTAACACAGAAGACTAGAGCTAAGGAGTCACATTTGTACCTAGAGTCCACCAAAAATATGTGTACACACTTCAGAACAATAGTATGGTGGTTTTCCAACAGGTGGTGTTATCCCTGTATGGGGAAACCTAGAGGATGTCCCGTATCACAGAAAACCCACTGCGGAGCAGCCCTTGGAGAAGAAACTAAAAAGGCATGTGCGGCAGCCACAGTGACCAGTTACCCAAGCAACAGTTTGTCATAATAATAAATTCTGCAAGCCACTGAAGTGGGTTTGTGAACAATATCGGCATCCAAGCAGCTAAACTGATAAATTTGGAATTTTATTCAGCAACCACCTGTGGATCCCTGTTTGAGTCCAGACGAGTGGCCCTGAACTGTAAAGTTACAGAGCTTTTAAAGCAGAAAACCACAAAAAGACATCCTGTTGGGAACAAGTTAGCTAGAATCTTACATTAATTTTGGTTGACACCTGTATCCTGCTTCTTTGTTGAGCAGGTTAATTTTTCTCTTGTGGGTGCAGCTCATTCTGCTTTTCCCATGGGTCTTATACCATGAGTAATTTTTCACTCTTCTAGGTCAAATACAGAGCACTAGTTAAATGCAAGGCTCAAGATGGTGTTAGTTATGCCAAGTACAACAGCCACCACTGTGAGCACCTCTTCTAATTGTAGAGGCCAAAGGTAACTTGTATTAATCTCATGATGTCACAGTATATCTAGTATTAAAATATTTATGCAAGCTTTTCTTTTCCTGAAATGTATACAAAGCTTTTTGGTGGACTCTATAAATGTTCAGCCTCTGAACAAACCTGTTCATGTGTGAAATTTCTTCCAGGCATAAATCAACAAGTCACAGTAGGATAAGAGGGTATACTTTCCCAAATTCACTTTCTTCATTACAATGTGTTCTTTTCAAAACACATAGTCCATAGTTATTTTACAGCACCAATGTGCTGTAAAACATTACATGCACAAAATGTAACACTCTAATTCTTTAAAGTAACATAACTTTTTTTTTTTTTTTTTTTTTGGTCTTTTTCCTTTTTATCGGTACCAGGGATTGAACTCAGGACTGCCTGCTTGCAAGGCAGGCGCTTCTGCCGCTGAGCTAAATCCCCAGCCCCAAAGTAACATAACTTTAATTTGAAAAATATTCTTCATATGAGAATTTCATCATCTGGCAATTTAAGAGTCAAAAATTCTTACAATCAAAATATTTAACTGTGAAAGGCACTGATCTTTGGAAACTTCTCTCCACTGTTGCCAGGTAAGCAGAAGCAAACTTAACTGGTTTAGAAGTGGCCTGGAGGAGACCCAAAAGGCTGGCTAATGTGCATTTTCTAAGAACCTCTTGTGATCTGAAAGATAGAACACGAAGGAAAAATTACATACTGTCCAGCCAACCCCTCACTCTGCACAGCTTGGGTTCAGTGACCCAAAGTAGGAGCTTGGTCAGGTCTCTTGGCAAGTTACCGACACAGCCAAGTTTATAACAGTTTTCTGATCTTTTAACTACTCTTCTTCCTCATGCTTTCTTATAAAGACAGAAACAATGGTATCAGAAACCATGGGGAAAACAAATCTGTTACTATTGCACCAACTGTTCACAGCTGTCAATTTTTTCTTTAAAAAAAAAAGAGATGAAAGGAGAGAAGCGATCAAAACTCTCCCAGCAGAACAAAATGATGGACTCATATTTATCCTGTCCAACTCCACAATAGGGGGAGAAGCCAAGGGCTGGGTCACATGGAGCTTAGCAGTTTAGCACAACAGCAGATTTTTGAAGGAGTCTGAAATCCTAACTCAGGACAATATTCCGAAATATTTGAAGCTGCTGAAAAAGAATTACTAGTCCCAAAAAGGTTTAGCCTTTCGTTTGTAAGCAGGATGGCGCATTAGGAGGAAAGTGGAGTCAAGGAGAAAAGCTGAAGTAACCCAAGTTGAGTGAAGAGAAACACAGAGGCAAGGGTACGCCTCTGCAAAGGAAACCCAGCTCCCGTGCACAATACAGGAAAAGTGGAGAGGACCTGAAAGAGCTGTATAGATAGAAGAATAAAAGGAGAGAGGACTAGGTTTCTAGGTAACTAGAATCCCTAGGTCTTTGGGGGAACAACTATGCTGAGTCCAGTCCTAATGCTATATGTTTTCTGATAATTAAAATCAATTTACATTTGACAAAATAAAAACCTGAAGCACAATGTACTGGGGGAAACTTCTAAAAATCCTTATGAAGATGGTCCAGTAAATGCCATTTACTGATAGCATGAACAGATCCATCTCTAAATTAAGTTTCCTGAGATAGCAAATCTTTCCCTCCTACCCAATGAAATTTTTTTGTTTTGGGTATTTGTGTGTGTATTGTTTTGTTTTGTTCCTTTTTGGAAACAAAGTCTCACTATATAGCTGAAGGTGACCTTGAACTCTCTAGTGGTCTAGGCTGGCCTCAATGTGACAATTCAGGTCCTGCCTCAGACTTTCCACACACTGGGGTGTAGACAAGGGATACCACATCAGGCTCAAAGGCCTGTTTCTGTGAAAGAAATTACACCCATGGAAAGAACTAATATAGTGCCTACCATATGGTAGTGTTCAAAAGTTGAATGTTAAACATACAAATTGCCCAACCAGGGAGTTAACTCAGCAGCACAAGCACCTGCCTGCCAAGCGCGAAATCATGAGTTCAATCCCCCGTAACAAAAAAAAAAAAAAAAAAAAATACAAAATTAAAAACTGTCTGCTCAACAAAATATCTCATCTATCCCTTCCTTCAGCAGCAGGCTTACATCTAGAAGCTGTCCAGAAAGCATAAAGAGCGCTGTTGAGTAACGGGCAACCGCGTTTGGGTTCACACAAACAATCTGCTGGAGAATGAGACAGAAAGTTACACAATGGGCCCCTGCCCAGTCACATGACCTGCCTTCGCTTTGGCTCAGGGCTCCATCAGCACTTTGGGCTGAGGACACCTGCTTCCCAAGTCCACGTCACTCCATGCAATCATCCACCTCTACACACTGCTTCTGCAATACTCAATTCTAGGCCTACTGTCCCTCAAATTCAGATCAACCTAGAGGCTCTACTCGCAGATCTAGGCTACTTCAACTACTCATTTCCCATTCATATTGTCATTTTGTAATAGGTTTGTTTTTCTAAAATCTCTTTCCCTTTTCCTTCCCTCCTATCACCCTGGTCAAGTAGCTGAGTTACAAGCCATTTCAAAATCATTAACTGGGGAGTTTAGCTCCAGTGTTAGTGCAGGTGCATAGCATATAAAAGGCCCTGGGTCCAGCCCTTGGGAACCCTCCCCTCCCCCAAAATACCTCATTAATTTGCCTCACTTTCTGCCCTCCAACCCAGTCTCATCAGTCTTGGCCCTTTCCTTCCACTCATCCACAAGTAAAATGCAAACATGAGAGTCCTTCATCAGTAAAAAGCTGTACACACTGAGCTACAGATACTTCTTCCCACATACTCAATTTAAGTCTCTGACTACCTGAGAGATACTGGCAGAAATGCCTCTTTCCCCTAACCATCACAATTTACCTCTGTACTCAACTTCTTACTCCAGTAGAAAATACATGCCATTCATACACTGTAGCAGACATCCCATGTCAAATTTCCTAGTCTGATGGATTTGACACTTGGGCAGAATCAACAGTTCAAAATGTTAGTAGATTTTGACAAGACTGAATTTCTGAAGATACAGAAGCATGGTACATAGTTCTCAACAGCACATAGTGACCCACCTTCTATGTAAAAAGAAAGAAAGAATGAAAAGGAAATCACTAGCTGTGTGACTTAGGGGCAGCCAGATTCTTGGGAGAATGTAGCTCCTAATTAGTTATAAACATTCATCTTCCTTTCTATCAACTCCATTAAATCATACTCATACATGGGTCTGGAGGTGTAATCCAGTAGCTGTGCACTGATTACTGTGCAGGAAGGCCCTGGATTCAATCCAATAAATACAGTACGCTCACATATGATTATAAGCATATTGAAGACAGGGCTTGCAGCTCACCCTTTAAAAGAAAAAAATCTCTCACAGCATGCTCTGCCAACTTTAAATGTGAACTGAGTAGTATTGATAGAGCAAAAGACAGGCATTTTGGTATTAATTATCACTCTACCAGTAAGCTCTGCAAAGTCAAAACCTTGCTTAACTGGTACATGGAATTATTCAACTTAATTATGTCAAAATACAATGAACTTTATTACCCTGACAAAATAAGTGCATCAAATTATTATTATTATTATTAGTGTACTGAGAATCGAACTGAGGTCTTCGCACTTGCTAGGCAGCCACGGTGCCGCTGAGCAATATCCTCAGCTCTCTAATTATTTTAAATAGTATGGTTTTTTAAAGCCAGATGTGGTGGTGCATGCCTTTAATCCAAGCGCTGTGGGGGCTGAGGTTGGATGATCGTGACTTAAACAACTGGAGACCAGCCTGAGCTACAGAGATAACATCTCAAAAAAAAAAAAAAAAAAAAAAAAGAAAAGAAAGAGGAAGTGCATCGGATTGAACCTGGGGACTCAGGCACAATAAACACAGTATATCACTGCACAACACTAGCACTATGAAATGCTTACTGATCTTAAGCGAAACATGTTTCTAACGGTCCCAACGTAGTCAGAGTTGGAAAATGTGTCAGTAACTTATACTACACGAAATATCTTCTAATCGTAAATCTCCCTAATTTTCTAATAATAAGCTCCAGATGAGCCAAGCATCACAAAATCTACCTCCACCTAATATGCTGCTGTATGCCAAGCGAAGCGAGAGAGGACTGCTGTGGTTAATATAACAAAAGCAGTTTGCAAAAAGTAAAAGTGATGGCGGGAGCCTTGGTGCTCAGCACACAAAACCTCGCACAAAGTTAAAATGATCTAAGTGAAGGTAGTACCAGCCTACGAAGCAAGCTTTGTTTTAGGATTTGCCAGTCCTTTTCTTTTTCTTTGTCCCTAACTAATCCCGCCCTGGTCAGAAGTCACCTCTTATCAGCAGGAAAGCAAGTTGGCCTAGACTCTGGCCAGATCACTCCTCCCCCTCCGACTAGAGATAACTCTGAGCTCTCCATCCCGAGCTCTGGGGCCTCTGCTGGCCAAGTAGAGCCGGGCTTCTCACCTGTCCCTTTAAAGAGGGCCTAACAGCAGTTAAAGCTGTTCAAAAATCACACCCGCCTGTCTTGGGAGGAAAGTGTGCCCAAGTCCCCCAGCTGTGGGAAGACAGGAAGGGACACTCGCGGCAGGTACAGGCGGATCTGGGGTCGCATATTCTCAGCGTAGAGGAACTGCAGGACCGCGACCCAGCAAACCGGGGGGTGCATGGAGAGGCCCGGGCCGGCGCTAACTCACCCACAGACTGTTGAAGTAGTCCAGCCCGCGGCAGATGAGCACGCCCGCGTGCGCCAGCAGCACCTGCACGCCCAGATAGCTGCCCAGCCAGTAGAGGCCGTAGAGCAGCGGGCCGCCCGCGCCCAGCAACAGCAGCAAGCGGCGGCGGCGCAGCGCCTGCTCGCCCAGGGCCTCTACGCCGTAGTCTGCGAAGCAGAGCGGCAGCAGCAGCGCGCCCAGTACGACGGGTGTGTGCGCGCGGTGCAGGCGCTGGAGCCAGTGGCGGCCCAGGCGCGTCAGCGAGCTCTTGAAAGGATGCAAAAAGGTACCACACAACACGGCCCACAGCAGCGGCCGCAGAAAGGCCTCGAGGATGAAGTAGACCAGCACCGCAGCGCCGCAGCACAGACACACGAACAGTACGGCGCCCGTGTTGTAGAAAGCCTGTTTGATAGGCTTGTCGAAACGCAACGCGAGCGCCGCTGTCCGCGGAGTCTCCCCGCTGCCCGGCCCCGCCGAGCGAGGAGCCCGGAGCTCCTGCCGTGGGGAGCCCCGGGGGCTCGGCACCTCGGATGGACCGCCGCGGGCGGCCATCGCGCCTCTGCCGAAGCCCAGAGCAGCGAAGAAGAGGCTGGCGCCGCCGCAAAGCTTTGTGGGAGTAGTAGTTCGCGGCTAGCTGCCAAGCACATGCGAGACTCTCAGGAAACTATCACTCCCAGGTGCCTAGCGAGAGCTCCTCCGTCCCCCTAGCCCATTGGTCCCCGCGGGGTCCTGGTAAGAAGTTTCTGAAGCTAAGAGGGGAGGGGGAACTTCTCTTCCCTCATTGGTTGATATCAACTTCTCCGGAGGCGGGATCCCCAAAGAGAGGAAACTCGGCAGAGTGGAATTCCAGGGGGAGTATTTACTTCAAGAGATCGTTATCCGAATTGTACACTACTTCTAGTGTTTTTGACAGGATTTTTATTAGCGCTCACCGAATGGAGTTCTTGTTCTACACGCCTGGCTTTTTAAAACTCATTTCGTCCTCAAAACCCTACAAACGTATTGAGTTTTTTTTGTTTTTGTTTTTTGTATTTTTCTTTTTTAGCGGTACCGGGGATCGAACTCACGACTGTCTGCTTGCAAGGCAGGCCCTTATGCCGCTGAGCTAAATCCCCAGCCCCTGCAAACGTATTGTTAACCTCCTCTCACAAACAGGAAAACTGAGGCAGGGGAAGGTGTCAGTATGGCAGCAATTTAAATTCTTCAAAGGGCCCTACATCAGAGTCTTAAGTGGCCACTCTTTCTTTTTTAGGACCTTCTTGCTACCAAGACAGTTAAGCTCCAACATCCCCTCTGTCTTATCAGGATGATGCTATTAGTAGCTCTTGCCCGAAAGCTGCTGTGAAAAGGGGAAGATCTGAGCAGTGCTTCTTTTACCTTTGGAGAAGTGCTGGAATTCAAGCTACCCCAAAATATCCCAAACAATGTTTTTATTTTAAAATACTAGGAAGGACTTTACTAAGCACTTCATATATGGGTGTTCAAACCCTACAAGTTATTTTTTCCTGTTTTCAGCAAGTCTTTATGTTAATTTCAAGATAAGTTCGTTTTCCCTTTAAGTTAAACAATAAAGGTTTGGGGGCTGGGGATTTAGCTCAGCGGCATAAGCACCTGCCTTGCAAGCAGGCGGTCGTGAGTTCAAGCCCTGGTACCGATAAAAACAAAAAAGACAAAAAAAAAAAAAAAAAAAAAAAAAAAGAGAGAAAAACAATAAAGGTTTCAGCTGAAAAAAACTGTTGCTTATTAAGTCTTGGAGACGAAGGCGAGTAATTTTTTTCCTATCTCGTAAGTTTCAGGTTACAGTTTTTCAGGTGATGTTTGGAGTTTGATTCAGTGGTTGTTTTGCTTCTGTTGTTCCTAAATTTTGCTTTACTGCTTAACCATTTTGTTCAAGCCTTCAAGATGATGATTATAAATTAAATGGTCAGTGTTCATTTTTACTGGCTTAAACTCCTATCTATATAACACAGCCTCGGTCTCTACCCCAAAAAGCCCTTGGTTTTCCTAAGGGAGTCCCAAAAGGAGTTCCTCACATATGCTGAGAGACATGAGTTACACCCATGTCACCCTGTTGCCCAACATAGCTTCACTAAGTCTAGTAACTATCATAGATTGCTAGGGCCTGTATTTGTCTCCAAACATCTAATCTTCAAGATGCCAAAGCTCAGCTGAGTTTCCTTGAGTTGAGGGAAAAGTCCTTATTCCTGACTTGCCAAATCCATGCCCTTTTGTCACCCGTATCCTTGTGCCCAGTGTGTTCTACTTCCTGTCATGAATAGTTCCTTCCATGTCTGTCCCTCCGTCCTCTAACTACAGGGGCTCAAACACATCCAAATGGCCCATGAAGGACCAAAGACCAAACCATTCCCTTTGTCTTTCTCCGACCAAAAATTCTCACCCTCAAGTTACAAGCACAGAGCTCCTGTATTATGTAACAAAAGCTTTTACCAATGGATGCAAACAATGGGACTGGGCAAGAGAAGATAGTTAATGTTGACTAAGTTCTGTTAGGGCACTCACTTAGCAAGCAAAAAAATGCACTAGCATGGTGCTATGCTTCCAAGTCCCCAAAAACAAAACTGGTGAATATTTCAAAATTGTTCTACTGGCTGTTCTAGGTTTTTACTGTACATGAGTCTTCACCACGAAGTGGTGCTGTGGTGTTCATTAAAGGGACACATATCTTCTTCCCAAGCAAGCTTTGAACCCATTGGGGTCTGTATGTAGTTTTTTAATGCATGGATTGGTGGCTAAGAATCCTCAATAAATAATTATTAAATAAATGAATGAGAAGTTAAGGCTCCTGAATGCAGGTGACTTTCCCATTTGCTTAAGGTCATTTCAGTCCCCCCCCCTTTAATTTATTCCCTTTTCCTTATACTTAGATTGAGTCCTAAGAAATCTCCAAGTTTAATAAGGGTTAAGTCTTACAGTTTAGGCTGCCCACTGGTGATACGCAAAATAAATATCACAGGGAACCACTAGAATATCAATAAGGGCCAAATGTTTGGGGTTTTGTGGTGAAGACTATAGCCTATAATGTGGAATGTGTTAGTGCCTGATTCTTTTTATAACATCCCATTCCAAGAGGTTTTCAACCTAGTTCCAGTAAAGCCAGCAGCTCAGTTACACATTTTGCAATTTCTATCCCCATCTAATGATTCACAAGGCTCTGCAACTGAACTCTTTACTATTCTTAACATATACAGTAATATGATTTCCTTGTCAATAAGGCTCCTAACTGAAATTCTGAGAGCTACTTATGTTCAATTTACTAGCCGATACAACTGAAGCTGGGTCCAGACCTCTATTTACTACTTGATATTGGGTTAAACTGAAGGTGTAAACATGACTTTATTTTGTACATTGCTTCTCTACAGTGGTCTTTACTTGACTGTAATAACATGACTTTCCTCAACTTTTCCAAGGTCTATGGATTCAGGGAGAACTGATGGGGATATAATAATTAAAAAGATAAAACTAAGAAACAGGAAAGAAAAACTGCACCACAGAAAAACATTACGGAATTGTAAACTAATTTTAATTACACCAACAGGAAGAATTTCAAACTATGTTGAAAATTTATATTCTGAAGTTTAAATCTAATATATTCTGACTACAACATAATCCTCTAAAGATAAAAGTAGTTATAATGGTAAATGGACAGAACAATCATTTAGGTAGCATTTAGGAATATTGCCACAATTATTTTACATAAATAGAAATTCATGTCTTTATTAGTAATGTACCACACATTTTAGAGTAAAAATTCACATAGACAGGATTATAAATATACATTTATATATAATCTCAAAATCAATCACAATTGAACATTAGGTACACAATTATTATAAACAAATATAACCCATAAATGTCAATTTAAAGGCATAGTTTTTACAAAATAGTATTTTATAGACAGTCTCAAAAAGTATAATACTCCTGGAGCCAGAGTGTTCCAGCATATCAACATGTCAGTGGGAATAAGGCATGTGGGGAAGCTGTGTTCACTTTTTCATGTGACCAGGACATTCTAGGTGACAAAACAGTAACGACTTTAGTGACCTGGGTGAATGCCATACCCACCGAGCATCCCGAAATCTTAGAAAATTGATTACTCTCCAGAAGAAACAAAATGAATGGTTATTCACCCAACAGAACAGATTAGAATAAAACTGAAAACATTCACTTAACTTCAGTGTGTTTTAACTGAAAAACTTACTGCAGCACATAAATCTTCAGTTGCCAGATATATTTAAAATCACACTAGCTTAGCTACCATTTTTAAGAAAGTTATATGCAAGTCATTTGTTAAATGTGAAAACAAAGAAGAACAACTTGAAACTAAATAATATGCTAACTGAATTGAGAATCTAACTATGAAAGGTAAATAGAGTCCATTAACATGCCAATTTCTTGGCCAATATTAGTCATGGCTTCTTATAGTACAGAAAACTCAAATTCAAGGATGACACTTTATCTATTCTTTTTTTTTTTTTTTTTTTGAGACAGAGTCTTGCTATGTAACTATGTAGTTCAGACTGGCCTTGAACTCACTGTGTAGCCCAGGCTGGCCCTGAAGTCTCAGCAACCCTCCAGCCTCCTAAGTGCTGGGACTACAAGTGTGCGCCACCATGCCTGGCACTTTCACTTAATGTTCAACAGAGGAGGCAAGGCTCCACTAAGAATACAGGAATTCCTACATATAAACTAAATTACTATAAACTCGAGGGCGTATTTCCCTGTAACGTACGTAATGTTTTATCTCTTGGGTTTTAAAATGTTCAGTGGGGCCAGGAATATAGCTCAGTGGTATAGCGCTTGCCTGGCAAATACAAGGTCCTGAGTTCGATTCCTGGTACCTCAAAGAAATAAAACAAAATAAAAATAAATAAAGTGTTCAAGAAATCGAAAACAGAAACAATCCTGACAAAGTCCTTAAAATGCTGTGGTATGTATATATATGCATTTATGTATAAACATACTCATACCCCATCATGTATGTACAAATATATATATATACACTGTGGACAATAAAACTGCTCACTGAACAAAATCAATTCTGTTTAGAGAACAAGGATATATAAGTATATACAACAACAAAGAATATACATCTCAGCATTTGGCCTAGTGCACGGTCCTCAAACACTTTTCCATTACACAGTAGATGCTATATACCAGATGTAAAACTCCCACAGGTGTGGCGTATTTTGATAAATTGAGAAATAAATTACTGTGAAACATCAAAATTATCACCATGAAGGGCAGTTCAATAACAAAACTTTATGCTGCCACAGCTTAGGTAAACAAAACTGTAGCTTATCAGCTCTGCACTTTACTGTCATCTCTTTGGCATAAACTCTAGAAAATATATTAGAATATAAGAGCCTGGGAATGCCACTATGCCATTTATTTATAATAATAATTCAATTATGATTTATTGTAAAACCAAGTTATTTACTAACTTGGATATTTTATTGACCAGGAGTAAGTCATTCGCAGTATAATTTACAACTGATTGTGATACACTCATGCATCCCTCACAGAACAAGTACAGGAAAATCACAATTCAGGAATCCAGCCTATTTCCTGTTTTTTTCAGCCGCAAGGAAAGGATGAGTTTTTCTTCTTTTCTTTCTTTCTTTTTTTTTTTTTCCTCAGGATGAGAAATTTTTTTTTGAGACAAGATCTCACTCTATAGTGCAGGCTGGCCTTGAACTCACTTATGTAGCCTAGGCTGGCCTCAAACTCATAGTGATCTTCATGCCTCAGTCTCCTGATTGCTGGAATTACAGGCATGTACCAAAATGCCCAGCTAGGTTTTGCACTTTTAAATAGATATTAAAAGTCAAAAGAACATTTCTGATATATGAAATCATATGAAATTCAAATTCAGTGTCAACTAGGTTTTACTGGAATATAGCCATGCTCATTCATTTATGTACTGTCTACAGCAGAGTGGAACACCTGAGACACACAGAGCACAAAGCCAAAAATATTTACAATCTGGCTCTTTACAGAGAAAGTTCACCAACCCCTGGGCTTGAGCTAAAAATGATACACAACCTCAGTGGTAACTTCTCTTAAGAAAAAATCCTGAATATAAACAGTAAACTTACTGAGAGAAATAGTAGTAAAGAACATCTGGGCTAGAAATCCATCCCTGACATGTTCAAACTCTCTAATTTCTTTTATTACAAACACCAGCCCAAGATAATTAAATACAGGCCCTGCACTTTGTCTGAAATCATGTTTATAAATCTGCCTTTGAGACTACAATGGACCTCAAAGGGCACTGGGTTCCAGTCAGAAGATGAACCAGGGGCAGGGACCAGCTCAGTGGCACTGTGCCTGCCCGGCAGAGGGGAGGTCCTGAATTTGACTCTCGGTAAGATGAACCAAAATTTTAGGCAAGTCACTTTTAAACTGAGACAAATATATTCTTCTAGTTTTATCCAAACTGTATATTATTTTTTAAAACCTGATTAAAAGCACTAAAGTGACTGATAAAATAATTAAAATGTTTTTAAACAGAAAAGAAAGTTGGTAGAAAGTAAAATATTTTCCTTTCCTCAAATACAAATGTAAACATAAAACTCCTCCTACTCATTGTAAGTTACTAAAGGGGGGAAAAAGGCACACAACTAATTTGAATAAGGTTCGTAGGGTCTATTTAATAAAAATTTTAATGACAGTGCATGAAGGTACAGGAATTCCCAGGTTTTGCTGGATTTATTAAGTGGTCTCTAAAGTCCTCACCAGTCCTGACAACTTATATCAAATCACTAGCTTCAGTTTATTTATCTGTGAAATTGTAGTACTTGAATCTTCCTGTGGTTGTGAGAATTAAATAAATTCATCCATGTGATGTGCTTAGGACAGCACTAAACACATTTAGCTGGCATTATTAATATTCCATTCAGACACTTTACAAAAACATGGGTTGAGCAACGTCTCTGTAACCAATATTATATTAGAAAATAGGAATACAGAGGTAAACTAAAAATTAAAAACATTCTTACCCTATTAGGTAAGAATGAATGAAGTCAAACTCCATGGAGTTTTAACTTCGGCCTGTCTATGAATTGATAGTTCTCTGAGAAGATGCCAACTGCTATTTGATAACCCAGTCTATGAACTCTTATTTCTGCACAATGATTATTGTTTTAAAATGTCAACTAACGTTCATTGTTGGGCAATGCAGCATTTTTACTAATTATTTTCTATTTATGTTTCAAAACACAAAGTTCAGAATTTAGTAAAAGAATAGTTGGCCACAGGAGAAAAAATATAAAAATCTTGATTAGTCTGATAACTTATATGAAATACAGGCTTTCTGGACCAGACACATTTGTCATGACAACATATATTCATTTGTTTCATATACATTTACTGATTTCACAAATATTGTCTCAGTGCTTACTGTGGAGTAGGCCTGCTGCAGAGACGAAAGGGCGCTTGCATTACGGAATTAGCAGGAAGGACAAAACCAGCAGTTATTATGAAGTACAATGAGAAATCCCAGTAAGCACGGGGAGCACAGGGCAGGGTCCTAAACTTTCCTAGTCTAGGGGACTGGAGGACAAAATAATGACGCTGTGATGTGAAAGATGAGTAATACTTTATCACACAGAGAGGGCGGAGAATGTCTGAACACATGGAGCGTGACAGACAGCAGGACTGGGGCTAGGGTGGAGTCAGCAGTGAAACGTTTCCCTGGCATGCACATGCACGAGGTCCTGGGTTCAATGCACAACACTGCGGGGAAAAAAGATACAAAATCTGTAGACTTGAGAGCCCTTCGGTCTTGCTGGGATACGGCAGTGGGGAAGAAGGATCAATATTGGAGTTCGGCAAACGTTTTGTGTTTTACTAAAAGCAATGGCAAGTCATTGAGTGTTCTAAGTATCAATATGCAAAACTGGTAATGTGCAATTAGTGAAATAAGTAGCTTGACCTGAAATGTAAGCAGAAGGAAACCCCACTCATGTATTTCTTCCCTTCTTGTTGCTAACTGAAGTCTCTCTTTTGTTTTAACCCATATATAGCTCAAATATTATGCACATGAGAGTAAAATATAAAAATATGTGCTTTCTGATTTACAGTCTAAGTGCCTGCATACTCAGTATCCTCGCTCCTAACCAGTCACTGAAAAGGTGCTACACAGGCCCTGCTGGGCCCTGACCAGACAGCTTAGTGTAGGGGCAGTGGCAGTCAAGGGAGCTGTGGACTTGAACCTCATGTCTGCATCACTCCGCATTCCCTGGCTCACCTGATGTCATTTCATCTCTTCCCATCTGTAGTGAGGAGCAGTTCTCCAACAACCCTTGGAAGCACGTGGTAACTGCGCAGTTTTCCTTATTTGGTTCAGGTCCCGAAGAATTTAAAAGCTTTCCCCATGGACAGACTTTCACCTCTGATATGAATCTTGGAGACAGCTTTAGAAATTGCAGGCTCCAGTGTGGCTTAATCACCAAGTAACACAGAGAACTCAAGACATCACAACAGAACTGTCCCAGAAGCGTAACTACGCTCAGAAAGATCTAAATAGGCTGTGAGCATGGGCATGTCATAGAAAGGAACATTTGGTTCCTCTGGAAAAAGGAAACACATTACATCAAGGCATCATTATAAATTACACCACCGCCAGTCTTATCTACAAGCCTAAACACTTCGAATTAAAACTCCAGGTGAATTCACTTTATAGGTCATTATCCAATTTTCTAGTTAAAAAAACCCAAATTCATCTCATGTAAAATTATTATTGTTGAAATCACTACAGTCTCCAAAATGCTGTACATTTAAAATGCCTTAAATTTTTGTTAAGATAATTTAACACATACTTAATGTATGCTGACTTTAACAGAATTGTCTCTAATCATAGATGAATACCTTACTTTATAAAAAACAGCGGTACAAGAGCCTAAATTCTATCTGTTAGAATTCCCAGTTATATCACTAAAATCATTTTACCTTCTCAGGATTCACACAATTCTGTTTCTAATGTTCCCAAACAGCTATAAAAAAACATTTTCTTATAACTATGCACTAATTTAGAAGAAGTTTAAAATAAATACAACCCATTTCCACATTATTGTAATCTCTCCTGTTTCCCTCATCAACTGTGTAAATATCCAAAAGCACTTATGCTCTCTATGAATTTGCTCAAAAGGCTGCCTGTGCACTTTTGACTTGCAGTGAATTTCTCCCTAGTAACACTCAAAGTAATTCTCTTGGCTGTAGGGCTGACACTAAAGACCACTCAGAGACTTGATTTCTGTTTCTAGCTTTCTCTCTACCTTGCTATGTGTCATCATGGAGGTCATAAAAAGGCAGCCTTTAAGTATCTGAAACCCTATCAGAAAGATAGTATTCTTACCATCATTATTAAGCCAACACAGAGATATTGTGAAGCTCAAAGTAAAACAAAAACATATTTGAAAGTGCTTACAAAGGTTTTAAGTACTTCTCAAAAGAAAGATCACTATTAATCCTCTTTAACCAGAAAAAAAGCTTGTTCTTTTTTCTAGGGACCTAAAATCATGAGTTGTTTTTAATAACTTAGCAGAAGCTAAACTTATACTGGTTATTTTTGAAAAATATATTTATACTAAAGACTTTCCAATCCATTTAATCTGTTGACCTTGCAGCCCTGGTTAAGGGGTTCCCATCAATAAGTAGAAGGTCAGGGCAACAATGAGGAGCAAACAAAACGGAGATGAGAAGGTCTGATAGGCAGCTGACGGCATAAAAATGTCTTCATACTTGTAAATACTGACAACGCGCTCGGAAGCTGGTGGAGAGTCTATATCGTGTCGGGTGATAGAGCCTTTAAGAAAGCGAAATAGGAGAGAGAGTTGGAAAAAGTACAGATTTAAAATGGTACATAGACAATCCACAGAAATACTAAGAAAAGTGTTGAGAGTTGAAAACATCCACAGTGATTACAAAGATCTGGAATCAGATATTAGAGTTATCATTAGAATACACTATAATTGTGCATATAATGAAGGACACAGAAATTAGCCTAATTCATCCAAATAGAGTGGTTTTCATTAATCCACAATACCACTCAACATCAGTACGCTATTTGTCTTTTTGTAGCATCCTAGATTTAAAATTGCTAGTTAGATAGGGCTGAACAAATTCCTACTTGTAGTGTCTCTAGTGGATTTCATCTTCTGAACATCACATGGATAAAATACATTTTGATTTCAAACAGCAACGTCCACGTATTTTTTTTCTACTCAAATGTACTCTTTATATATGCGGCATCAGCAACTCCTGATGACACTAGCCTCTCCCTTATAGATGGAAGCCTCTCTCAGTGTCTGCAGGACATAAGAAGTAGCCTGTCCCCGCCAGACCAGAAGTGGTGTGTGTCTGTATGTCTGTCTGGTGGAGTGGGGCACAATGACACAGAAAGTAGGATAACTAAGAAACGAAAGAAGTCTTTGAATGGAAAACTTTTTTGAGGACCTGGTTACAAATGGAAAGAGGGAAAAGCTGTGTGTAAAAGATGGTGAAGGGTTCAGGAGTAGAGGCTTGCCAAGCATATGTGAAGCCCTGGGTTGATCAAAGCACCACCACCAAATAAAAAGTAAAGGAAGAAAGAAATAAAAATAATCAGGACAGGCCATGGTGATGTGCAGCTGTAGCCTCAGCTATTGGCGAGGCTAAGGCAGGATCACTTGAGCTCTGGAATTCGAGGCTGGTGTGAGCAACACAGCAAGCTCAACCCACTTCTTTAAAAGGAAGCACAGTAAGTTGAAGTTTATCATGAGTGCCTGATCTCTTGAAAAGGCCATATGAAACTTACTTCAAGGAAACTAAGGCATATGAATTCAGTGCAAGGCCCTTCTTATGGCTAGGGCTCCGAGTAAAGGTGTCTGTGTGCGTGTGTGTGTGTGTGTATATTTGGGTGTGACTTGGAATTGAACCCAGGGCCTTCACATTGAGCAACCAGCCCTTTTTATACTTTATTTTGATACAGTGTTTCACTAAGTTGCTCAGGCTAGGCTTAAGCTTGCAACCCTCCTGCCTCAGTCTCCCAGAGCGAGATTATTACAAGCATATGCCACCATGCCTGACTAGAATGGGGGGGTTTTAAGGTAATTTCTGGTGGAAGAGCCCTGCTGAACTTCACATGTAAAGTCTCAGCTCCAGTGCTAGCTCCTGTTAGCACAAATTCCTCTGTGTGGTACGGAGATTCTTCTCTTCTAAGGGCCCTCTCACCACTACCTCTTCTCATCTCCCTGGTCACCTACATGGGCTCCCAGACTTGACCACACAACCTCTGTGAGGAAAACTCAATCCTGAACGCAAAGTTCATCCCCACGAGGAGACCTGCAGAGAATGGTTAAGATTTGACCAATAGGCATTGGAAGCATATGCAGGAAACAAGAAAAACACAAGCCTATACCCTAGGTAGGAATATGCCTGTTGTGCAAGGCAATAGGAGAAAACAGAAGTGTTTCATGGCTTTTTTTTTTTTTTTTTTTTTTTTTTTTTTTGGTATTGGAGATTAAACTCATGACCCTGTGCTGGCAAGGCAGGTGCTTATGCCACTGAGCTAAACCCCCAGCCCAAAAACAGAAGTCTTGAGAAAATTTATCAGATAAAGCTGGATATAACTGGAGAGGACTTTAAACATGAGGATAGGATGCCACATATATAAGATTATCTTAGGGGCTGGGGATTTAGCTCAGCGGCATAAGCGCCTGTCTTGCAAGCAGGTAGTCGTGAGTTCGATCCCTGGTACCGAAAAAAAGATTAAAAAAAAAAAAAAAAAGATTATCTTCTGAAATACAGTTGCCCACCTTATCAACTTTCATGGTTTCACTTTCTCATAGTCAGTCAGGGTTCAAAAATACAGTATAGTGCAACAAGATATTGTGAATGAGAGATCACATTTATATTAACTCATTATGTCATAATTAATGTTTTTAGTTATTACTGTTAATTTCCTACAAATTATATACAGAAAAAAACCCCATATAATATATATAGAGTTTCAGGCATCTACTGGGGTCTTAGAACACATTCCCTGCAATAACTAAAGGCCACTGTATATGCTTTCCAATCTGTAAAGCAACTTCAAATACTTGTTTTCATTTAATCCTTTCAACAGTGTTATGAAGCAGATATTATTGTTACCCCACTTTAAATATAAGGAAATAAAGTTCAGATTTTAGACAGTAGGCTTACTATTACATAGCTATCAAGGGCAAGAACCAATACTCATCCAGGCATGGTGGTGCACACCTGTAATTCCAGCACTTAAGAGGCTGAGGCAGGAGAATTGCTGAAAGTTCAAGGCCACCTTGGGCTACATAGTGAGTTCAAGGCCAGATTCTGTCTCAAAAAAAGCTCAAAAATAAAAAATAAAGAACCGATACTTTGATTTGTAAGATTTTAAATTCCAGAACTTTAATGAGTTCCTTTCTTTAGGCTAAGATATAATTTATTTCCCAGGACACTGAAAGTACTTGAAGGTATCTTTGCAAAGTCCACTGACAAATCAGTAAATGGGAAAGGTGTTCAAAATCTGAAGGTATCCATTATGCAATCCCCACACCAATCAATAAAAACAAACTGAACAACAACAAAAATAAACCAAAAACTGAGCTCACATGAGACGACAAAGAGTCGCTAAGCACACAGTAAAGACAGATGCAATAGCAGGAAGTAGGATGGGTTTCCTGCATCAGGACTACAAACCAAACTCACTTCTTTTCAGGCTATGTAAGGCTGATCAACAGTGAGGAATGCTCAAGACAGTGTGACTTGATTTTATCTGTCTCTAAATGGCCTCCTGATGTCACTGAGTCTTTGCTGGAGAAATGCTGAAGAGCTTTGCCTCCCAAGGTGAGGCCATCCATGGGTCAGCATCACCAGGGAACTTATTAGAAATACAGAACCTCAGGCCCATCCCCGCAGGCCTGCAGAGGACTGCACTGTAACAATACAGCGACAGAATCCCTCATGCACATTAATATTTGAGGAGTAATGGGAGAAACTGACAGGATAATTTGGTGGATTCATGACCACCAGAATAGTCCTAAAGTGAGCACTAATAACCCACTCACTGTCAAGTTCAAGAGAATCCTTTCCCTGCTCAGTGTTTTTCTACTTGAGGACTGGGGTGAAGGATATTCACTGACTTTGAAGTCAAATAGACTTAGGACTGAATTTCAGTTCTTCCCTTAATAAGCTGTACAGCTTTGAACAAGTTTCTTAATTTCCCAAGGATGAAGATAACAAAATCTAGACCTCTGCAGGCTGTGGTAAGGAGTAAATGGAAACGTGGTGAGAATTAAATGGCCCGTACGCCACACAGCAAACAAATACCTGTTTCATCAAGCACACAGCTCGTCATGCGCTACCTCATGACACTCCAGCTTTTGCCTGTGTGTGCTACTTGTCCTTGGGTATAAGTTCATTATAATCTCCTGAAGAAGGGAGTCATAGCTCTTTTTCCTTTGATATTATTTACAGGGCATAAAGTTGTCTGGTGCACACAGTGTGATGCCAATTAATAATAAACACAAGTACAGGGCGTTTGCTGTTCAGTGCGGACGCTGAAATGTAAGCTTACCCTGAATGGCTGGACCCCAGGCAAACAGGTAATACCAACTCAAATGGAGATCAACAATTGTTTCGTCCCTGGGAACATTCACAGGGCGTTTAAATCTGCAGGTGACACGGTTGTTCTCAAAAATGCCTTCTTCATCTCTGGCAGGATTTCTCTGGATCTCCTTTGCCCACTGGCCCACATTATAAAAGTGCTGAATGCGGACTCTGCCATTATCATCGTGGACGCAGGCCATGACATCATCACCACCCTAATAAGGAAATGATTCAGAAGAAAAAAGTCCATTTGTCTTTTGCAAACTTGTCACTCAGAAGTACACAAGCTATCCCTTTTGTAATTTGAGATCCTTCCAAAAATTATTTTAGGGCTGGGGTTGTAGCTCAGTGGTGGTCAGATGCTGTTCATCTGCAGTATTCTTCAGAGTAAGTGGGTGTTCACTTGAGGATTTTTTAGCCACTTTAGCAAATTAATGAAACTCAAAGGGGTGGGGCTACTTGGTCACAACTTAAGACTTGCAACAGGCATCTAAAGTGAGTGTAGGTAGCTAGGTAGATATGAGGTATGACCAAAACATACAGTGAATGATTAAATTTTTAAAAGGCTTTCAATTATCATAGTAAAATACACATTGATATCAGTCACTCTCAAAATAGTCCTCCTTGCTCTGAGCACACTAACAGCATCATCCTTGCCGCTTTCTGAAGCAGTTCTTGAAGTCCTCTTTCTTGTTGTGTCTTTTCATGGCTGCCCAATGCCCTGAATTAATTCAAAAGGTTTAAGTCAATTTCTGTCAAATAAAAACATTACAGGACATCCTCCTTCATCTTCTTCACCAGATCTGGCACCACACAACTGCTGGCTCTTCCTCAAGAGCCAGTGGAAGGTAAATGTTTTGAGTTGATTCAGGACACCAAGGCAGCCACGACAGCATACCTAAAGACACTCACTCAAGAGGACTTCCAGAACCTTCAGAAAGTGGCAAGAATGATGAGATAAGTGCGTTCAAAACAAGGGGGAGCATTTTAAGGGGGATTAATGGCAGTATGTCTTTTACATTAATAAATTTTAAAAAATAATTTAAGTGGCCACCATATTTTTTTTTATCATACCTCATGCTTTTAGGGACAATCACTTATGCTTGTGTGTGTGTGTGTGTGTGTGTGTGCAAGGAGTGCTGTCCCTTTACATCACTAACATTCATTCAAAGTTGGTTTTTTGTTTCAGTTAAAGTTTTCCAGAGAAACTATCCAACCAGTCACTCTGACTTGATCTTTTTACATTACTTAGAGTACTTTGCTCATTACAAAACTAAGTTCTCTGCCCACAGGTGTCCCACCAGCCATGTTTTTATAACATGTAATGTACCTGTCTCCACACATGATGACAAATCTTTCCTATCTGAGTATGTAAAAGTTTCCCCCAATAAAATCCCCTTGTTTTCTTTATTCAAGAAGACACTACTTTGGGAGTTATCCCCAGTGCTTCTTCCTTACTTGCTGCAAGTAATAAATTTCTCTTCCCTCTTATCTCCTGGCTGTGCTTATCAGCTTTGTGCTCATCAAGGGGTAAATCCCTCCATTTGGTCTCACAGGGGCAGACTGACCCTTAGCTTGTGGGATGCTATCAGAAATGAGCTGAGTTACAAGACATCCAGTTGGTGACCAGCGGAGAGGTGCTTGGCATGTGGGGAAGAACTACCACACATCTGCTCAGAGATGTGCTTAGTGGTGAGTGTGCGAGTAGAGAAGAAACAGAACAGTTTGTTTTCAGTATGTCTTTACTGCTGCCATGAAAAGAGCATGTATTGTTATGACATTCTACACGGAGTAAATTTAAATCCAACGGACGGCTACCACGTACAGCTGAGTCCCACCTACAATGAGCTGAGCCCAATCAACACACGCATGTGTGGGCAAGGAATACTGTAAAGGCTATTATTAGATATGCAGTTCAAGAGGCACTTCCTATAGCATTACTGCAGAGATAAATTTATGAATACAGTTCTATAAGCCACCTTGTATTATCTTTCCATTTAAGTAAGATTTGATTTGATGTACTGGAGATTGAGCTCAAGGTCTCATACATGCTAGGCAAGTAATTCATGGATGAGCTATATCCGTAGGGCTTTAAAAAAGTCTTATTTTGAGACAAACTCTTACTAAATTGCCCATGCTGGCTTCAAACTTGCAATCATCCTGCCTCAGCCTCCTGAGTACCTGGGATTACAGGTGTGTGTTTTAAACATTTTTTTAACTTTCAATAAGAGAGATGTAATTAATATAACCATTATACTGCTTTCATCAATTCATTTGTGTCTAAAAATCTAAAAAAGCACAGCACACTAAAGAGAAAAGTCAGTTTCAATTACGATTTGCATCTTACCATTTTCTTGTCTGAAGAGAATCCAACTGCTACCCAGCCATCTGTGTCTGCACTCAGCTCAAATTCCACATCAGCCCCGATCATCCGGTAGCTAAGGAAGTAGTCACAGGTCTCTGCATTACAGCCTGGTTTGCCGTATCTAAAAGACATATCAGAAGAGACACTGGCGCTTGCACTTATTAAAATACAGTAAGAGAGCATCTACTATGCATTGAATAGGATGCAAAACAGTATCATTAAATAAATTAGATCTTTGCTTCTTGGGATCTCAGAAACACAGTTTCACTCAGGGACCCTGGAGATTATCTACTTTATCCACATAAAAAAATGAGGTCGAAAGAAGAGAAGGGGCTTGGTCCAGACAGCATAGCATGACGGCAAGTCTGTGACGGCAAGGGCAGTAAAACCTGGGTCTCTAAACTCCCAATGCTCTCTGCATTATATTAGAGTTTCTTAACCTTCAATTATTAGTGTAAGAAAAAGGAACTTAAATTGGCCCATTTTCAATAAAAAATAGTTAAACTCTGAGTAGAAAATTATCGACAGTTTTCAAACTACTTGATAAGGTTCAGGAATTTGGAGGATCCCTGGGCAGACTGGACCTTGAGGGAAAGATAAAAAGTAGCAAATTAGGGCCAGGGATTTAGCTCAGCGGCATAAGCACCTGCCTGGCAAGTGTGAGGTCCCAATCCTGGGTACCACAAAAAAAAAAAAAAAGTAGCAAATTAGCCTTTGTAAACTGCAAGGGAAGGGAGAAGAAAAGCATGTTCTTCTGGTTCCAGCCAAGTAGAAACATAGTTATGTACTTGCAAAGTCACATGAAATCATCACACAGGCACATCTGCTTCTCAGAGAGCTCCAGAGTAAAGAGTAGAGTATTATGAAGAAATCCAAACTCAAATTGGGAGGGAGACTAGGACTATGAAGAGATGAGGAAACATTAGGTGACACCCAGGGAAAGAGTGCGCCTCCCCTCTTACGGGGCCAAGAGCACCAAAGGGAAGGACCACCCGGTGCAGGAGTTTAAAATGCTCCATGTGACAGCTTCACATGAGCCCCCGGGCTTGTAAGACAGACAGACAGATGGACTTAAAACTTTGCTTTCACTATTCTTCCTCCTCTCAAGTCCATTCTTTGGATGTGTGAGTGCATTTCTCACACCACTAAATTATTTCTGAACACCTTTAGAGGAAAAGGATTCTCTAAATATTTACATTGTTTTTGCTAATTAAATCAACGTTTTACTTACGAATTTTCATACTTAAAATATCACAAAATTTAAAATTATCATAAATCAAGTTAAAACTTAGGAACGCTGAAATTGACAGCATTGATGCGGTGAATCTTCCTCACACAAGCAGTTAGGGAGGAGATCTCTGTACCCACGGCACTACAGCCCAGAGTGGAGAACTGGCGAACGTCCCAGGGCTTCCAGGACGCTTGAGCGAAAGCACTGAGGAGCCCTTAGGAAATGCCATAGCCTTGCTGAAGTCCCATGAGCTGCACGCAACTTAAATACTACCTTGAGAAATTAACAGATTTCTTAGCATTAAATTTATCCAACTTGCAGTTTGACCAACCTAAAGCATCCCTTAGTTTTTCCACAGTCTTCCACTTTGATTTTGGCAAACGGATCCACAGGAGGAGCGGTAGGGAAAGGGTAACCTGGGGAGTAAAAATAAATAATGGTTAGAAAACCCAATAATGACTTTTCCAATGCGATTTTTTTAATGTTTTACCTATTTTCTATTGCACATGTCTAGCAATGTTTGGGGGATTTAAAAAAGGATTTTAACTGTCTAATCATTGCCTTTGTGAGAGGAAAGCACGGGCACGCTCCTTTGGATTCAAATGTACATGGCACCTGGAAACGGATGGGCCCTCTTCTTAACGTACAGTCAAGGAACAGGAGATGGGGAGCAAAGGATAATTCCATATAACTACTGTCGTTTGGTAATTTTAAAAGCAGTTTTAATACAACACCCATGCTCTAAAGAAAAAAATACCTGACAATGACACACCTATGTCCTTGATAGATTTTTTTCCTCTTTTATACATAATAGGGTTTTCCAGTCCGTTTCTCAGATCTGCCGTTTCGCAATAACATTTGCACAGCTCTAAATCCCTCCTACAGAGTTCTAACGCCGCGTACTTTTCTCATGAGGTTACTTACCATCATAGAGTGCCACACCACATACTGAAGAACAGGCCGCCCTGTGGCTTCAGTTTATAAGAAATCTTTTTCTCCTGGGCTGTTTACCTCATGTACACAGGTACCATGCATGTTCTCTGCCAAGGACAAAGTGTGGCACTGGACACTTTAATATATTCTCGATCATCAAATGCTAAAATAAAATCATCCACCGACCTAGGGCAATGTAAATAAACTTGAGAAAAACAATTCATCTTTTCTCAATTCTTCTGAAGTATTCTGTGATTCAGAATGCTTTTTAGACTAGGTTTTATTTTGTTCCATCAGATTTATTATACAGTAGGGGCTGAGATACAGCTCAATGATAGAGCACACTCTTTTCGTGCTAAGGCTCTGGGTTCAATTCCTAGCACTGCAAAAAGCAAAAACAAGGACTGGGGATATAGTGTAGCGGAGCAGCACCTGTCTGGCGAGTAAGAGGTCTTGAGTTCAATTCCCAGTACCCAAAAACAAAAACAGGAAGGAAGAAAGGAAGAGAAGAAGGGAGGGAAGGAGAAGGGAGGGAGAAATGGGTCTCCGCTACACTTTGTGGCTCACATCTGTGCACTCTGAATACTCCATTTCTATGACACTAAACTTGAACATATGCCATGACTTTCATCACCCCTAGATAAGTGGGTCGCATACATGACTTTTTTTAGTTTTGTGCTTATTTTGTGCTAACACCTATATGCATCCAGAGCAGAACCCTGCTCTGGATGAAGTGTTTTGTCTTTCTCTTGATGTTTACTGAGCAGCTCTTCCATGCTACAAACCGATGTGAAGCATCTTCATACACGTTCTTCCTCTTATTTCTCACTACAATCCTGAGGCCATTTTTTTTCTCAGAATAGTTATCCAGGAATGCAACGATTATGCACTCCCTACGTACTTAGATTCTGTAGGTGACTGACAAAGGCAAATTCTTTCAATGTTGCCTCTAATTTAAGTTCCCCATGCACCAAAGAGAAAAAAGACCTGACAATAATACATTTATGTACTTGGTAGTAGGGTTTTGTCATTTATGTACATAATGGGATTTTTCCATTACATCTCTGAAGTTACAAAGGGACATAGGCTCCTGATTAGCATGAATTGCATGTAATTTAAACACTATCTTGGAAAGTAAGCACATTTTAAACATACCCTCCTACCTTCTAGATTAATACTTTGGCGTATGATAGATTTCTGGCTCCATAAATGTCAGTCATTCAGAGTATAGCTCAGTGGTAGAGTATTTGACTGCACAAATGGCAGTTATGAGTACCACTGGTTCAGTATTACTATTAAATTTTGTAAAATGGACTCAGAACTAATAACCATTGGTTCATAAACACGTTTCCAAACTCCAAATAAAAGCAAATTTTAGAACCAAGCTCGCATAAATGTTCTGAACTAATTTATGCATGTGGGCAAAGGGCTCCTCTAGCACTCATTGGCTGTCATCTTGTATGTCCAAAACTTGGAATGAGAATTTGTATTCTATTAAATGCATTTGTGCATCCGTTTAATAAGTTTTTCCCCTGGTGTTGGAGGCTGAACTTAGGGTCTCCAGCTTGCTATATAGGAATGTCTTTATTACTCACAATCCCCTTGAATCCCACCTGAGTGTACAGAGATGAGTCAGAATGGGAAGTGGTCACCAGATAAACCCATCAGGTGACTAGCGATGTGGGGCTTGGAGCCAGCCCTACCTCAGGAGAAGCAAGGGAGGCAGGAAATTGAGTTCAGCCACATGGTCAATGATTAAATCCAACACACCTATCTAACACAACCCTAGTGAAAGCTCTGGCCACCTTAATATGTTGGGAGCGTGACATGATGATTCCACAGGAGAGCACAGAAACTGCATTTGGGATCCTGCCAGACCTCACCCTATGTTTCTCTTCATTAGCTGGTCCGGAGCTGTATTCCACAGTACCAACACTACAGTTGTAAGCATGGTGCTTTCCTGAGTTGCACAAGACAGTCTGGCAAACTGTGGAACAGGAGTGGAAGGAAGCCCCTGCGTTTATAGCTGGTTGAAGCATAGAGAGTGTTACTGCTGGCTAACCCCTTTAACTGTGGGGTTTGCACTACCTCTGGGTCTTTAGGGACAGAAATAAGTTGCAGTACACTTGTGGGATTTGGTGTTAGAATAAAGGAGAGCACCTTTACAATTTTTCCTGAACTTAAATGATCCCTCAAAATTTGGTATGAAATAAGTTTGTACAGTGTGCCAGTATCTATGTTCTTGTCTCCTGGCTATACCCCAACCTTCCAGACGCTGAGTACTTGTAAAGTCCTCCTCCTTTGCCAACTGCTGAGGCGATGCCAATAGAAGGCACTCAAGGGAGACAGGAGGAGGTAGGAAAGACTGTTCCTTCCCGTTAGATTGCCATCCCAATATTTAAATGCTCAGTGACTGCTTCATCCTTACAGTGGAAGTTGCTTTAAGTTCCCAGCTTTTTGGAAGACTCAAAAGCAGCCTCACCCTGCTGCTCAAAGGGCCTGCAGCTGCACAGAGCTGCTCTCCAACAGCAGTCACAACCATGGAGGCCCCTTTTCCACGCTTGCGGGTTTACCACCCCGAGCCTTCCACTTTGCAACTTCAGCCCCGGCGGTGGAAGCTGTTTCCTGCTGCCTTGGTCTCTTTCGTCCCTCAAATTCTTCTTATAAAAATTCCCAGGGCTGCTCATCCCTGTACATAGCTAGGATAATTTCTGTCTTTCTAACTGGAATTTGACTGACAGACTGGATTAAATGCTCAAATATACAATGTACTTTCCAAGACTGTAGCTCATTAGCAGGTATCACTTGGAAGGCTAGAGAATAACACTGTTTAATATTCATTATTCTGTTTCACGTGCACTACACATTTCCAGTGGTAAATTACCTCAAAGCCTTCTTTTGCTAGCGGATGTGGTAGTGTGTGCCTGTAATCCCAGCTACCTGGGAGGGTGAGGCAGGAGGACTGCAAGCTCAGGTGCAGCCTGGGCAACCTTAGCCAAGAGCCTGTCTCAAATAAGGGTTTTGGATGTGGCTCAATGGTAGAATACTTGCCTAGCACACATGAGGCTCTGGGTTTAATCCTCAGTACAAAAAAAAAAAAAAAAAAAAAAAAACAAAAACAAAAAAAAAAAAAAACAAAACCACTCTGACAGGCACATCACCTTAAAAAAACAGTATTTTATGGTATAAACTTAATACATTAGTAATAACAGAAATAAGACAATGTGTGATTGAAGGAAAGGTTCTCACCTCCATGGAGTATGGGATTCTCCCTGTTCACGTTGTAAAAAGCCCTTCGTACTCACAACACCACCGTCCTGAAACTCTTGAATTACAAGGTAAGGTAGTTACCAAAACTGCCAGCAGCAGAATGTGTATCTAAAGTCCAGGTTGTAGGCACAATTTCTCATGCAGCCAATGGACCTACCGTGCTACACTGGTCACAGGTGCACTGCATAAGACAGCACATGGGCATGCACAGGTCCAGCCTTGCCCAAACAGAGTCGACTAGCAAGAGCCTGACCCAACTTAAATATTTACCGTCTACGCTTTTTATACACGCATTCTCAAAAAGTGTTTACGTATGTTATTAAATCTGCATAAATGACGTGGTACAATAAACCTCATTTTCTCTACTATTTTCCTTTTGAAATCTACCTACCTAAGTAAATCTAAGACCTGGTAGTACTCCTGGCTGAATACTATTACCTGGTGTGCATATAATCAATTTTTTAAAAAAAATTTATTTAAAGAGAAAAAAAAACAAAACAGAAAAAGAGTACAAGTAATACAGAATTTCAAAAAATAAACAGTAAGAAATCACTAGTTAATAGATTACATATTGTCATCTTAGAAATAGTTGTTCAAGTTACAGAATTAAAGCATACAAAGTGGACATTCAAACAGAGAGACTACAAACAGTTGTATTCAATGATCCAACAAAAACTTAGTAATATGGTTATCTATCTTACACACTTAAACATACATGCAGTTGTATCCTTTAGAGCACTTTCTTTTCCTCTCTTTTTTACAATAACAATTACACATTTTGGGTTTTATTACTCCCACAGTTCTTATTACTTTTTTTTTTTGGAAGAGAATAAAACCAAATGTGACAAAACAAAATACAGTCAGTCAAAACAAAGGATGGTCATAGTATATGATGTAAAAACAATACAAGGTGATCAACAATGGTTACCATAATGCCTCTTGCTACCTTATAATCAATTTTCTTAAAATATCCTTCCAGATTAAGCCATTTTGGTTTCCTATGTTTACTTTGTCAAACAAGGAGGAGATGAACGTCCTTATCTCTGTTTCCTGAAGGCATATTCAAGAGGTTTTGTTTTAACAAACCGACGAAACAAACTGATGGATCACATCTTCAATTCCACCAAGGTGAATGAGGGCGGTGTTCAGTGCAACAGCCCAGTTTATAGTGCCATCAGTAGTGTGTGACTGTCCCAGTTTCCCCACATCCAGA